GAACTTCACATGTAGGGCCTTTTTTTTTTTTTTTTTTTTTTTTTTTTGCTTTGGTTGCTTTGTTGCCTCAGTTTTATGTAGTATTTTTTTGTATTACATTGTTGTTTTCCTGTTTTATTAGTTGTCTCTCAGGAGGACATTGTACAGTACCAAAATGTGACAAAGTTTTTAGAGCTTATACCGCAAGATACTCTAGCTGTAGCTTCATTTCGTTCCAAAGCATACACCAGAGCTGTTATGCATTTTGAATCCTTTATCATGGAGAAAAAACAAGAAATCCAGGAGCACCTTGGATTTTTGCAGGTGAGAAAATGTTCACTGCTAAGAAAACTTACTGCTTGTCAGTTTCTTGTAAGTTTTTTCCCCCAGATATAGCATTGGCACTAGGTTCTGCCTTGAAGAGTTGTATTACTAGTGCAATGTTCAGTTTTTCACTGTGCTCGTGTATATTTTCTTAGGCTTCTTTAGGTTACACACAAGCACACTGCTTATTAGAAGTTTGCTTATGCTTGAGTGCAGTTGCATTCATTTCATTCTATCTACTATTTGCTTATATGGCAACATAGAGATTACTAAGGCGTAAAGATATCATATGGTTTGCCCCTCTTTTGATTGAGGGCACTGCTTATACAATGCAAACTCTATTGTATCAGTGGTGACCTACAGTGGGGTTGATTGTTAAAGGCAAATTGACTGTTCGCTTTGGAAGAGCAGTTGCATTCTGCAAGGGAATTTTTTTCAGAGTTTAGTAAATGAGGGGAAACGCCGCTGACTTCCATCATCCAGTCATGTGCAAGCAAAAAAAGTTTATTTTTTTTATTTTTATTTTCCAAGTGTTTGGGTATTCTTTGCCAAGTGAAGCTTCACCTTCTTTACTAAACTCTGGAGCAAGTTTCCTTGCAGAGTGCAAGAGCACTTGCAAAGTGAACAGTCTATTTGCCTTCAGTAAATCAACCCAAATATGTTGGGATACAGGAAGAGCAGATGCACGAATGCAAAGAAAGCCACATTACATGCAAAGTAATGCATGTGTAGCCTTAATTAGAAGCACATTGGCTCTGATCTGAATTAATTCATATGTTTTGATTTTAAGTACAGTTTTTGTATATTTACATATTTTGTGCTTAGTGTGTCACAACGGCATTATTCGTCACAAGCTGGAGCCTGCATCAGTGGCTTTAAGATAGCAGACCTAAAATCTATAATTATAGTTACAGTGGGTTGCACCAATACTGTTTTTTTTTGCAAGTACCAATACTTTTGCTCAAGTACTTGCTGATACCAATTACTGATACCTTTGCTGTGCAATTTGAGCCCATAGAAAACAAATAGGCTCAAATCGAACTGCAAAGAATCTCATGTGATTTGAATAGGAATGCAGTGCGATTCCTGTCCGAATCACATGTAGTTTCCCTGTGGATACAAAATGAATGGCTCAGATCACATTGCACATCACACTGCACCCACAGGGAAACCACATGTGATTCGGGCCAGAATCACACCACATTCCTGTTCAAATCACATCCTTTTCAATGCGATTTGAGCCCATTCCTTTTGTATGGGCTCAGATCACACCGCAAAGTTATCGGTTTCAGGTATCTGAGCATTTGCACAAGTACGTACGAGTACTCGTGCAAATGCTTGGTATCGGCACTGCTATTGGTATTGGTGCAACCCTAATTTACAGTAATCCAAACTGAACATCGAGGCTTTATGAAATGTTATTTTACAGACTAGTAATATACTGCATATATGTGCCATATTTTTCCCATAAGAAACTGTATGCTGCTATGCATGAACCTGATGGCGTAGCTGGGGTCAGTGCCATTCGTAAGAGAGAAGCAACTCTGAAGGAACAGATATTGGAGCATGAAAGTATTGGTTTGTTGAGAGATGCCACAGCCTGCTATGACCGAGCAATCCAGCTGAAACCTGAAGAGGTAATTCCAGTCCAAAGGTTACCTGTCAAACAGAGCAATATTTTGCACACTTTAACATTGAAGTATGTTCCTTTGATGGAAATCAATCAAACAATCGACTTCTGTGGAGCAGGGATGGCCACATGCTGCTTGGAATTCAGCTAGTCCCTGTTGAACCAGCTGAATTTTGTCAATGTATGGCAAGCTTAAAATACCAGTTGCTTTGCTATCTCTGGCTTTAATAAATGAGTCATTGACCTGAAACAAACATCCAGAAAAGAAAGAGTGAAGTTAGAAGGCCTGCAGATCTAATCCAGGTCAGTGACTCAAAATGTTGAGATCTTTGGAAACACATGACAGCCAGGCAGCTAACATTTTTACATTAAATGTGGTAGCTTCCATACTCATTCGCTAGTAGATTTCCTAAGATTAGAACTGTATGTAAATCCTTTTGTTATCTTCTCTTTTTATAGATTGTGCACTATAATGGAGTGGTGAAATCTATGCTGGGCCTTGGTCAGCTGTCTACTGTAATAACTCAAGTTAATGGAGTGCTAAACAGCAGGTAAGTATAACTGTACCTTGTTGAAGAATTCTACGGAATACTTTGTGTAATGTATGTCCTCTAAAACCAAAAAAAAAATCTATTTTCTGTTAAACCCTGACTGGCTTTTTTTTTTTTGGTCAATATGAAACCTAATAAGCAGGGAATAACTAAAGACTAGTGTAATGACGAATGGAGTTGCCATTTAAAAATGTTTTAATCAAAGCATCACTGGAAATTTATGTAGTAGAATTTTTTATTATTTAAAAAAACGTTTATGGACAAATTAGATTCTACTAGTAAAATTTCAGTTATACCTGAAATGTTTTGATCAGCTAAGGATCTTGAACTAGAACCAGTGCTTCTCAACCAGGGTGGTGCCTGGGTTCCCCTAGGGTGCCATGAGATTGGGACCCAGTTGACCTGGATCAGTTTGTCTCCTGTACCTTAACAATCAGTGAAACTCTAGGGTCAGGATGCATTCATTGCTGTGGTGATGGTGGCTGGCTCACCTGTACATTGGCAATGCACCAATCAGTTCCAGAGTAGGTGGCATGCAGGGTCACCCCCTAGCATTCAGGAGAAGACAGAAGTCTGCCTCCTCGATCTCATGCCTTCTGCTGCGTTGCTGGAGCCAAAAGGTAGGGCTCTGATGTTAGGAGGGGACTGTGTGGTTACAGGGGCTCTGTGTCTCTTACCTTCAGTCATCTCTCAGAGATCTAGTAGAGTGTGTAACTTCAGCTCCCTGCTTTGTGGGTCTGTGAAAAAACCTTTTCATCTCCGAAATATATAAGACTGGAATGGACAAATGGCTGCAAATAAACAGGTACAACGAAGTACATTTACATTATGCCCGACAACACCTTAACCTCCCTGGCAGTATTCCCGAGTGTAGCTAAGGGTAAAGTTTCAGTACCACAAGCGGTAACCGCGAGCTACACTCGGGCTTACCATGCAGTGCTGCTCCTGGATCTGTTCTTCACTTACCTTGTCCTGTGCTCCCGCGATGTCCCTCCTACAGTGTCCCCGGCAATGTCCTCCAGCGGATGTCAGCATCTATCATCTGGGTTCCGTCTCCTGCGAGCGTCGGGACGTACGGGGACGGAACGGCAGGAAATTTGAAAATGGCAAAAAGTGAAATTCACTAAATACACTAAAATCACATAGTAAAACATTACTGTATCAAAGCATTTCACATACATTTTGTCCCGAGTGCTTTGTTCTGTGCCCTGCCTGCATTTTTACTGTTCTTTCTGCCTGGAAACTGAGAAACGTCCATGGCGTCCAAAAAGCATCCCTATAGGTCAAAAGCGGTTTTAGACCAGCTAGAGAACAGCGATAGTAAATTAGAACCACTTGCAGAATTGAGTGATAATGATTTGTGGGGAAATTCGTCATCAGACACTGAAAACGATTTTGCGACTTTGCTCAGTGATGTGTGATTTTGGCGCTATATTTTCAAATTTCAGTGGTTTGAATTTATTATTGAATTAAATTTATTAATATAATATTATTTTTAGGATTTTATTTATTTATTATATTATAATTTATGATTTCGTGTTTCAAATTGTAACATACCCGGGATGTTTACTAGACTCTTGTTCGGACAGATTTCAGTGAGGTATTCCTAAAAATTACAGGTTTACAATAAAAAAAAATACATATTTCCATGCAAAAAAATTTACCGCTTTGAGCACAGAAATATGGACATAATCAGACTGCTAGGGAGGAACGTGCCTCAGGATTTTTTGTGGCATTGGCACAGTAAAGGGTTCTTTCCGGCAACTCGACCTAGCAGCTTATTTTTGATCATGTATTGTGTTCCTTAAAAACAATCACACTGCCTTTTCCAGAGCGGGAATTTTCCACTTCTTAATAAGTGATTAAACAGTATTGACTAGCATATTCAAGGCTTTACCCCCCCCCCCCCCCCAGTCACATCAAGCCCAACTTTGAAATCGTGTGACTTACAGTGAAGTCGCACAATTTCAAAGTCAGGTGAGATGCCGATTTCAGCTGCGATTTGCAAGACATCTGACACAGATGTCTATGCAAATCACACCAAACGTAGTGCATGCAATACTTTAGAAATCAGTGCGGCTCCCACCAAGTCGGAACCACAAAGATATGACCGCTCTAATTACCGACAGTAGGGTGGGACTTGGCATGCAATTTGCAAGTTGCATAGCATGCAAATCGCTTTCCAAGTCGCAACCAATGTGACTGGGGTGTTATACACAGACACTAATTGCAATTTAAAAAGCCGCAGATGTGGGAATTTACCTTTTTAATTGCCATTTTAACCTGTGTGTGTCAGTACTAAAGCCAAACATTCCAGGGTATGTAAAGTTTTGATCAGGGCCATCTGGGTGTTTTCTATTATCAATTGGTGATTCAATTATTTAAAAAAGAAGCCAAACAACTATGTGATAATAAATAGCTTCATATGATCACTATGCTTAAATTAAAGACAGTTTTTGGCATGATCAGTTGTATTTTCAGTATCCATGCCAACATTTCATGATTTCTAACAGGGTATGCAAACTTTTGAGCACAACTGTGTGGCTCTACATACATGGTTCTATTTAGGGTTCGTTATGAATGTTGAGATTTTAAAAAAAAAAAATTGTACTACTTTTCTAGGCCTGAATGGATTGCAGAATTGAACACCTACAGAGTGGAGGCAGCTTGGAAACTCTCACAGTGGGACCTAGTGGAGGAATATTTGTCTACAGGTATAAGAAGCATGTAATATGCATTTCCTGAATTCAGATTATTTACAAAACTGGTTTACAGAGTTCTGTGAATGGGAAACTAAAAGTCCCAACATCCTTTGCAGCTGTCAGCTTGCAATTCTCAATGAACTACTGCGGTGCTGTTAAGCACTGTGGTGGTTCATTGTCTCTTCCTGTCAGTGTGTATTTGCCTGACCATATGAGGTACAAGCAGACAGATACACTGACAAGCCTGCAGAAGTCCTGCATGGCACCCGTGATCTGCTGATGCAATGCTTTCTAGACTCCCAAGTAATAAAAATAATAATTGCATGATTTTTTTTACCTGCAAAAAGATGTTCATTTAATAATTTGTAAAAGGTAGACTTTTCCTTTTAAGTGGCATATTTGTAAAACAGCAATGTTACATTCACCAGACATGTACAGGTGATTAACCATTTTCTGTAATTTAAAACATATGTGCTCTGATTCCCATCCAGTGAATGTTTGTTTGGCAAATGTCACATAAAAGCTGGCCTTATTTTTTACAGTTTTCCTATTCAATTTACTTTAGATTTACCTTCAACTGTATAATGCAAGGGCCTCCCTGATTGTATACAAATTGAAAGTGTTTAGGTTTGACCTCATATTCTATGGTTTTGGTAAATCTAAAGGAAAATTGTATAATGTATGGTCAGCCTTATTGTTTCATAAATTATTATTATTATACAGTATTTATATAGCGCCAATAGTTTGCTCAGCGCTGTACATTATAATGGGAGACAGTACACGAGACAGTACAGTAACAATACAATACACGAGGGGTTCGAAGGCCCTGCTCCTTGGAGCTTACAATCTAGGACGGAGGGGAGAGTGGTACAGGAGGAGATAGCTGTGGGGGATGGAGTGGTGGGAAGAGCAGAGGAGATCGGCATTTAGGTGAGGGCGGGGTAGGCTTCTCTGAAGAGATGGGTTTTCAGGATGCGCCTAAAGGTGAGGAGGGTAGGTGACAGTCTGATGGATTAGGGTAGTGACTTCCAGAAGATGAGGGAAGCCCTGGAGACGGGCATGGGAGGAGGAGACCAGGGAACTAGAGAGTAGGAGGTCTTGTGAGGAGCGTAGAGTGTGTTTTGGGTGGTAGATGGATATCAGGTCGGTGATGTAGTTTGGGGCAGTGTTATGAACAGCTTTCTATGTCAGTGTTAGTATTTTGAATTTTATGCATTGGGCAATCGGAAGCCAGTGGAGGGATTGGCAGAGGGGGGTGGCAGATATGGAGTGGTTGGTAAGGTGGATGAGTCTGGCCGCAGAATTCAGGATAGACTGAAGCGGGGATAGCCTGTGTTCGGGTAGGCCGGTGAGGAGGGAGTTACAGTAGTCAAGTCATGATATAATAAGGGAGTGGATGAGTTGCTTAGTAGTTTCTGGAGTTAGGAACGTGCGTATTTTGGAGATGTTGCGGAGGTGGAGTCTGCATGAATTTGTCAGCGATTGGATCTGGGGCTGGAAAGACAGATTGGAGTCTAGAATGACACCTAGTACTCTGGCTTGCGGGGTGGGGCTGATGGTGGCGTTGTTGGTTGTGATGGAGAGGTCGGGGGGGGGGGGGGGGGGGGCGCGGGCTGGGGGGAAAACTATATATATGCCCTTCTCTGTATTCAAGTATTCAACTTGGTGAATAACTTATGGTGCTCCCCAGAATTTGATTGTGGTTATTGTGGTGTTATGTTTAGTTAATATTAGATTACATTTTGTGTTAACATATAATGCAGCAGATGCTCTTAAACAGATAGGAACTCTACGACCTGGAGTATCAGACTTGGGCAGCTGCTTCTGTCTGCTAAGAAGAAAGAAAGAGATGGGTTCTATGACACACTGAAAGTGGTGCAAGCAGAGCAGATTGTGCCTTTATCAGCTGCCAGCTTTGAGAGAGGCTCCTACCAACGTGGATATGAGTACATTGTAAGGTAAACATCAACAGTTTTGTGAAATTGCAACAATTCCTTGACTTCCAAATTGGGAGGGAAACTCACCCTTTCTATTTTTCCTTGTGAGCATTGGTTCTGGCACTGAAAGTGAAGGTAAAGTCAAAATTTTGAGCTGTCTAAAGAGGGATTCCCCTTACTACAAAGAAATTTCCTTTCACTTTCTGTTTATGGGACAAGAAGTGAATGAAAATCTCCACAATAGGACACATGGCAAAAAAAAAACCCTAAAAGTTTTAACTCCCCACTACTCTGTCCAAAGCAAAACAAATAAAACAGATTCACTTTAACAGTGCCTGCATATATCTTGCCTAGCTGGGTATAACAAAATGTATATTGTATAAGTTATTTCTTGGTAAATTAAGAAAATGTACAAATGCATATTCAGCCTCAGGGTAGCTTTGCGTGTTTTAGTATATAATGTGGCAAACAGAGTACTTTCTTTTTCTCCTCAAGGTTACACATGCTTTGTGAGCTGGAGCACAGTGTGAAGATGTTCTTGGATAAATCTCTTGGTGACTCCCCTGCAGATTCTCTCAACTGGCAGGCACGACTGGAAATGACACAGAATTCCTACAGGGCTAGGGAGCCCATTCTGGCAGTACGTAGGGCACTGCTAACAGTCAGTAATAGGTAAGTTCTTCCACGGTTCATGAAGCAGGTTACAGAACTGAATCTATTGTGGTAAAGCACCTCAAAAGTTAAGGATCTATGAAAAAAAAAATAAATTAATTCATAAATAAACTCTAAAGAGGCTACCAGCAGTGGTAAAATAGATCTTGCTCAACATTTCTTTAACACAAATGGGAACCTTGTTATAAATTGCATTTTCAGAGTCCGAGTGTTAAGAGTTCATTTTTACAAAACAAAAGCACAATGTATTGTCTCATGCATATAGATGGCTTTGCCCTGAGTTATTGTAGGAACAGAGCAGTTGTTGGGACCAGCCAATGATCAGCTGTGACAGGAGAGAGCACACATTGCACATGTGCAGGATGAAAGAACAGGACAGTGGCACTAGGGTTGCTGGTCCCATTGGCTGCTCTGTACATACAATAGGGCCATCACAGGCTGTAGAAAATTGTAAGAAGAAGCTTCTTTTCAATGTGATTTTGGCCTTCAGTCTTTGAACTTAAAGGGAGCCCTGGCTGAAAGGTAGGTGTAGCATGCTACACAGCAATACCCCTATGGGACACCATATTGTACTTTTTTGGTAATTGTGAACTAACCCATTAAACCTGAAACGTTGGTGCACACATGTTTGTTTCAATATATTCTTCGATAGACAAAAAGGATATAAATACATTTTATGTGCACAAAATGCCTTTGCAAAACTAGGTATTACCTAGACGTAAATGTAGAGGTGACATAATTGCCTTTGCAGGGAGCAGAACTGTTTGTGGAACTTAGCTAGTCCAATCACCACAGGGTGCCTGCAAGATAGAACAGTAATTACCAGTCTGTATTACAGGGAGGTCCTGTAAAAATAGGCAAAGTGCAGAAGTTGTTTTCTGCTGGATTACTGCACAGATCGGGAATAAATACATGAAAAACAAAAATGTTTAAATAAAAAAAATGCCTCTTTTATTTAGGTATTTACACATTGTTTGATTAACCCAGATTTTTGCCTTAATTGTTGATGATTGTTCATGGTTTCTAACCCTTCTTAAAAAAACATACATTAAAGCACAGTTTTGTATTATTCAGACCTAATTACACTGACATGGTTGGGGAATGTTGGCTCCAAAGTGCCCGAGTTGCACGTAAGGCAGGCCATCATCAGGCTGCATACAATGCCCTTCTCAATGCTGGAGAGACCAGACTGCCTGAGCTCACTGTTGAGCGTGCGAAGTGGCACTGGTCAAAGGTAAGCCCACTTTTGGGATATGTTTTCTGTTATTGACAAACAGTATTACCACCAGTGTTTTAAGTATTTGTCAGCTTAAAGGTGTGAATCTAAATTCAAAAGTAGGGTTATTTTGGAATTTCTTTTTCTTTGTAATAAAATCCCCCTGTTTTTTTTGACAGCCTGTGATGGGAGTGACTTTTTGGGGGGGGGGGGGGGGGGCCCTGTCTCAGCTCCCCCTATCTCCATTATGTGTAAGTCACCCTGTGCCTGTTAGGGGTGCAGGGTGAAATGTTCTAATATTGTTGTAGGGATTGTTCATTGTTCTCTGCCATGCCGCTGCATCCCATTGTTCTAGCAAACTATTATGTGATATAATGTTTGTGTATTGGTGTGGGCGTTGTTCATTGTTCACTGCCAGGTGGTGCATCCCATTGTTCTATTGTGTGTCTTGCTTGGGATGGGAAGTAATGTTTTCGGCAGCCCTTCCTTCTGTTGGGACGGCCTGCTGATGTGTTTCCTGTTTGGGTGTGTGTTTCCCCGCCTTGTGTATATGTCTTGTATCTGTGTTAAAATAAAGCAGTCTATTTCCTGTCTTTCATACAAGCCTGGTGCTGTCTCGTCTTGTATGGCCAGCGGTGGTGTCCGTGGATCTGTATTCGGACAGGGAAGCGGGAGTCTAACGGAAATACCCTAGTGCAGTCTGGGTCTGGCTCCGTTACATTGGTGGCAGCGGTGGGATTGTGCTTCCAAGCTGTGAACATGTCCAAACCACCACCAGGATTCAAGATCAGGAAATGAGACGTCGGTCATCCCAGTGGAGATATGGACCTGGCATCAGAGTTCCCAGGGCTGCTGCAGACAGTTCTTGCAACATACCCCAGGACTGTGTCTACAGATCAGTACGTGGAGCTTAGGCAGCGGATTTGGGAGGTGCTTTGGAGAGGAGCCCTCCAGGTTGCTGGTATGGACAAGGGCAAGTGCTATCCAACCCCAGGGGAATGGGCCAGGGACCATCGGACGTTACGGATGCCATTCCTGGGAGAGCGACCCCAGGAGCAATGGGTGACTGAGTTGGACAGGCTGGTCCAGCAGGAGATAGAGCTGGACAACCGATATCAGGCTCTGCAATGGTACACAGAGCAGGAATATTTAGGGGTGATAACAGAATGCTCTCCTGAGGAATATGACTTTGGTGGCCCTGGATTGCTGTGGGAGAGCTTTACAGATCTTTTTGTGTTTGGCGATGAAGGAGAATCTACCCTGGAGGAGTTGCGAGAAGACAGAGGCTATGTTCGGTCTCACAGGGATCTCAGAGCTTGAACCAGATCTGGAATACCTGCTGAAGAAAGAACTGCATCTGGAAAGGGTATACAGGCAACTGCTAAAACATGTTCGGCAGCATGCCCAAGAATCGGCAGTGGAAATTCCAGAGACTGGGGATTTAATAGACTTCTTCTGAAGAAAAACAACCTGGTAAGCCTCCAGCAGAAAAGCTGGCAACAGGGCCAAACACTACTGAACTCTGCCCAGCACTGGTAACATCTTCTGAGTTCCACGGACAGGAGATGGTGAATCCCTATCCCCAGACACCAGTTCCAGAGACTAGGGGTTTGATTGACTTTTCTGCTGAGGAGGAACCAGCCGGCACGCCTGCAGCAGAAGAGCTGGCACCAGGGCATGGCGTTGTTGACCTCTGCCCACAACAATCAGCACCGCAGGAGCTACAGGAAGAGGATGCAATCGGCACCTCACAATGGCAGCTTGAGCTGATGTCCATGGATGGGACTTCGGTCTCCACTGACACAACCCCAGAAAAGTGTCTGGCATTGGGACAAGAGGATGACTGCCTTACTTTGCAAACACTGGGGGATGTCCATCAAGTCAAATAGATAAAACTGCAGCCCCCACCTGGATACCCCAGGGATGCTGGGCAGTCAGCCCAGATCCCCCACAGCATGATGGAGCCGGCCCAGCCACCCTGTCTTCTCTCCAGCGGCTGAGAGGACTTCAGGGAGAAGGACCAGTCCATACTTCTCCCAGGAGGCGGGTATGTTCTACGAGAGAGGCAGAGGTTGGCTGGGCGAGTAATGCTTTGTGTGGGACAATTTGCTTGGGGAACTGTGTGGGTGCTGGCATTGGGGGACTGGAAGTACAGACTAACTTCGGAGTCCATCCGTCTGGGATTTACTCCTGCGTTAGTCTCCTGCCGAAAGAGGAGATATGTGACGGGAGTGACTTTGGGGGTGGGGGGACCCCTGTCTCCGCTCCCCATATCTCCATTATGTGTAAGTCACTCTGTGCCTGTTAGGGGTACAGGGTGAAATGTTCTAATATTGTTGTGGGGGTTGTTCATTGTTCTCTGCCATGCGGCTGCATCCCATTGTTCTAGCAAACTATTATGGGATGTACTGTTTGTGTATTGGTGTGGGGGTTGTTCATTGTTCACTGCCAGGTGGTGCATCTCATTGTTCTATTGTGTGTCTTGCTTGGGATATGATGTAATGTTTCCGGCAGCCCTTCCCCCTGATGGGACGGCCTGCTGATGTGTTTCCTGTCTGGGTGTGTATTTCCCCGCCCTGTGTATATGTCTTGTATCTGTGTTAAAATAAAGCAGTCTATTTCCTGTCTTTCATACAAGCCTTGTGCTGTCTCGTCTTGTATGGCCAGCGGTGGTGTCCGTGGATCTGTATTCGGACAGGGAAACGGGAGTCTAACAGAAATACCCTAGTGCAGTCTGGGTCCGGTTCCGTTACATAGCCTAAACACCAGGATAAAAATATTACTGGATTGGGATGAGGGTGGTAATGATGTACTTTGTAATTACCACCATATCCCTGAAGCAGAAACCTTAGGGCAGCTATTGTATTCTGACAGTGAGAGGCTTCTCCGCTGTCAGAATACACTGATCAGCGCTGCCGACTACAGCCAGTGGCACTGATCGGTTAGGAAAAACCCAACAGGGCAGTTGTACAGAAGTTGATTGGTAGATTGACTTCTGTACAACCAGCTTGCCCATACTGTACATGGATCAAAATTTGTCTGTCCCTGCTGAACCGACCAAATTTTGATCCATGCACAATGGGAAAAATTATTTGATCCCCTGCAGGTTTTGTAAGTTTGCCCACTTACAAAGAAATTCCGGGTTTATAATTTTTATCATAGGTGTATTTTAAATGATAGAGACAGAATATCCACCAAAAATCCAGAAAAAACACGACACAAATGTTATAAACTGAGCTGCCATTCAGTGAGTAAAATAAGTGATCCCTTACCAACCAACAATAATTTTAGCTCCCACAGACTGGCTATGTGCTCGTTGCTACACAGATAAGTCCTATCAACTTATGAAGGTGCTCCTAACAACAATTTGTTATCATATAAAAAAACACCTGTCTATAGAATCTCTTTATTCCATTCAAACCTCGCCATCATGGGCAAATGACCAAAAAGCTGTCAAAGGACGTCCGAGACCAGATTGTAGACCTGCACAAGGCTTGAATGGGCTACAAGACCATCAGCAAGAAGCTTGGTGAGAAGGAGACAACTGTTGGAACTGTTGGGTAAATGGGTATCCCCAAGCATCCTCCCAGTCCTCGCTATCTAGGTCCGGCACATCCTCCCGCCATTTCGACTGCAGCAGGTCAAGCCCTACATGAACTGATGGCAATAAAGCCTTGTTTGTTACCGATAGGGTCTTTTTCAAATCTACGTCATGAAACAGGGATTCGAGGTCGTCCTGCAGCAGTTGAAGTGGCAGGGTATCAAATTGTGAATAGTAGGCATGGTGGAGTTTTCAAAACTTGAAGAATAGAGAATTTGGACAATCATAACTTTGTCAACCTATCAAAAGTGACCAAAGAACCCACCGCACAAATGTCTTTCAAATATTTAATATCTCTTGAGTGGCATAAAGAAGGAGTGAGTGGAGACCTTTGATCAAAGGCCGAAGAGCCAGGGGACATAGTGGTTTGCCAAGCTTTAATTACAACCTTCACAGACAAAGTGAGGGTGAAACAAGAGGTCCTAGGGCCCCGATATCTGCAGATTGTGCAGGGATTCAAGGGAACCCAAATATGCTGCCTCTAGGACCACAGATACATTGGAGTCATCAGACATAACCCAACTGTGCGCGATTAAGGGCCGCCAAAAACTGTGTGTAGGTCCAGACCACCCTGCGTCCAGCTGGAAAATTTTCTTGTTAAATCGGGGAGGGTGGGACTGCCATATAAATGGATTGACAGGGGAACTAAATTGAAGGAAAAATCGCTTGGGAATCCAAACAGCGGAATGGCGGAAGGCATAAAGAAGAACCAGAAGTATCTTCATTTTTATCAGATTAATACATACAATAATGGATAAGGGGAGATTATCCCAGGCTTTCAGCCTGTGCCTGACAGCCTGCACAGCAGGTTCCAAATTAAGTCGGCAAAAGTACATTTGTAGAGATAATGATGCCGAACTATTTCATAGAATCCGTCCACTGTAGAGGAAGATTCAGAGCAGCCACCCCCCTGGCCCCTGGGTCTATGGGCACAATAAGAGATTTTTCCCAATTAGCACGAAGACCAGAGAAGGTGGCAAAGTATGATAATATATCAAGGGCAGCCACAAAGAGAGGGCCAGGGTAATGCAGAAATAGCAGTCAGTCATCTGTATAAAGCGCCACTTTCTCCACAATTGTGCCCACTCAGATCCCCATAACCTGAGTTGATTGAGGTAGGGCAATGGCTAGAGGTTCCATGGCAAGCGCTAACAAGGCAGGGGAGAGTGGACATCCCTGCCTAGTCTGGGAATGGGCTACACCCAGCTTAATCCTAGCAATCATGGACTTGTAAAGGAGCTTAAACCAGTTGCAAAAGACAGGGCCAAAGCCATAGCACTCTAACACTTTGGTCAGTTAGTGCCAAGAGACTGAATCCAAAGCATTTTCTATACCTAAGGTTTCCAGCACCCTGGTTACAGAGTCACTACCAGGGAGTTGAAGATGGGTAAAAACCCTGCGTGAGCTAGTATCTGTAGATCTACCTGGCATGAAGCTCGTTTGGTCTTTGTTAATTAAAGAAGGAAAATTATCCTAGTGGCCAGGACTTTAGTCAAGATTTTTAGGTCGTAGTTTAGCAGAGAGCTAGGCCTATATGAGGCACATTGCCATACATCTTTCCCAGGTTTGGTAATTGGGACTATATAGGCCTGGTACATGGAAGGTGGTAATTCCCCAGCTTCAAGGCAAGCTGCAAACAGTTTTTGGAGTTTTGGTGCTATAATAGTGCCGTGTTCCTTGTACTATTCCCCTGGAAGACCATCCGGACCCTGAGTCTTATGATTAGAAAAGGAGAAAATTCCAGTTTCTATTTCCAATACAGAAATTGGAGCTAACAAATTACTATAGTTAAAGTAGTTCTAAACGCTCAAGGTTTTTTACCTTTGTGCATACTATGCAAGAAGTTAAAAAACCTTCTCTGTGCAGCAGCAGCCCCCCCCCCCCCCCCCCGATACCTAACCCCGTCCCTCTCCTCATTGGCTGAGACAGAAGCAGGAGCCATTGGCTCCCACTGCTGTCAATCACAGCCAGTGAGAAGAGAGAGGGGGTGGGGCCGAGCCACAGCTCCATGTGTGAATGGACACACAGAGCAACGGATGCCCCCATAGCAAGCTGCTTGCTGTGGGGGCACCCAACAGAAGGAAGGGGTCAGGAGTTTCAGCAGGGGATCCAAGAGCAGGAGGATCTAAGCTGCTCTGTGAAAAACTACACACAGCTTTTTTTTTTTTTCTTAAATAAGCCTTTAGAATCACACTAATTTAGTGTTTGTGAGCACAGTTGTCTTTTTCTGTACTTTCACGCTGTGCATTCTGGGCGCCACAGGCATGGTAGGTCAAAAACTGTTCATGTATACTTGTTTGGGATGTAACATAACTTTTTTATTTTTTATTTTTTTTTTACACTTCACATTTCAGGGTGATGTGCATCAGGCCCTCATTGTCCTTCAGAAGGGAGCAGAGTTGTTTTTGTCTGACAGCAGTGAACAGCAGCTTATCCATGGCAGAGCCATGCTACTTGTGGGGCGATTCATGGAGGAGACAGCTAACTTTGAAAGTAATGCTGTGATGAAAAAATATAAAGTGAGTTCAAAACAAATATACTGCTATTATTATGTTTAGTATTTGTATCTAGTAGACTGCTTTCTTTCTAATCCATTTGAGGGATACAGTAAGTTTTAAACCTTTGGGTTTTTCTGACACTCATAGTGGGACTGGACACTGGCAAAAAAACTGAAAGTCATCCCAGGGTAACCATTCTTACTGCCATATCTCCGTTTTTTGCTAGTGTCCTTGAATGATGGAAGCCTTTTCCTCAATTCTGGTGGTGTAAAGAATAACCTGTGATTTTTCTAGCAAATTGTATACTCATCTTTACTCCTCTCTACACTGCAGCTCAATGTCTGCCTGTCCATGTTCAGCTATCCGGTGCAGTTGTCTTCAGCCTGGCTTTTGAACTGGATACTGCTGGACTGGACATTGTAGGGCTATCCTGGGTTCCAGGTGGGGGTGTTTTCCTGACTGGTAAATATTAGCTGTGGAGCACTTTCCAGGTTCAAAGCTACTGGCATTCCCTGTGCATCTGCCCTGTCATTGAAAAACCCTGTCAGTAGAACCATCAGACCGAGCACCAAGAGATCCTTGATTTGGGTGCTATTATTCCCCATTTCCCACTGGCTCTGCTGTGGAAGGGGTTAACACTGTGGAACTGAGCACTGACATCATTCTCTGGGTGGAGGGTTGTACACCCACTGTGCTTTTTGTCCATCTATACAGTCTCAAGGATGCATCTCCCCACTGCTGCTCCTGTTGCAAAGATAGATATGGAACGGTGATTTTTTTTTATCAATTCCTGCTGCCAGTCAACAGTGATTTTGGTCACCTCCAGCCACCTGACCGTTCAGTCATAGATCCTCACCTGCTACCAGCTGTCTAGGATTTGTAAGTACTCAAAGTGGTTGTAAAGGCTGAAGGTTTTTCACCTTCATGCATTCTGTGCATGAAAGTAAAAAATCTTCTGTGTGCTGCTCCACCCACAGCCCTTCCCTTATACTCACCTGAGCCCCCCCCCCCCCCCCCCCCCCCCCCCCCCATCCCGATCCAGAAATATGCACAGCAGCCTCTGCTGTCCCACAATTCCCTCTCCTCATTGGCTGAGACAGCAGCGGGAGCCATTTTAACAAAATATAATAAATGCACATTTTTTTGCAGGTCAATAAATGTGCATTGATTATTTTTTGTTTCTGGAGCCTCTAAAGCATTGCACCAGCAATCAGCAAATCGTTGGTGCCATGCATGTCTCTGGCAGACCTGTCAGTGTGTCTGTGCCTGTACATCGAAATGACAGGATGTATCAGTGGACTACTACAGTGCTCCACAGGGCCGTGGTAATTCATTGAGAACTACAAGCTGACAGCTGCAAAGGCTGCCGGGACTTGCAGTTTTGTCATTCACAGAACACTGTAAATGAGTGATGCAGCGGGGCAGGCAGAGCCCCACACAGCTGTATTTTTTTTAAAATTGTGACAGCTAGTGGGGGGAGAAGATCCCCTGCTAGCTGTCAAAACGGGTGCATGGGGCGGTTTGTTCGTAACATATTACATGTTTTATATGGGTGCAGCATTTTATGAACGGTGAACTTATCCTTTAAAGATCCTACTGATAAGCACATAGAAGGACAGGTTTGCATGCAAGATGTAGGAATCCATTGGTGGAAGCAGTGGATATTCTGGTAGCTCCATGGGATCAGTACACCTCTCTTCAAACTTTTTTCTTCTGGATTGGCCCAGGCAGATGTGTTATGCTGTAATATATATATAACCTTTTTGTGATGTATTACAATAAATCAAATAAACTAAATTAAAACAAAGTGTTCAATAAAGATCACAAAAATCCAAAAGTGTCCAAAAAGAAAGTCCAAACAATGTCCAAAAAAGTCCAAAAAGTCCCAAATTTTCAAACTTGTTCATCAAATAAAAGGATTGACTCCTATTCCATCCAGTAAGAACCTCAAAATAAAAAGATACTGAAATCTAGTGCATTACCTTAATACACAAAAATAATCACCCAGTGCAACTCTCAATTTAGTGCAAAAAAAAATATATATGTGTTTATATAGTAAATAAATAAATTCAAATCAAAAATGCTTTCTTATAGTGTGCATAATCACACAAATCAAACTGTGAACACTCTGTGGTCACTGCAACTCTGTGCACACCATCAACCAGCACACAATAGTACTAAATACTATTACCCTCTGTGAGTATTGAAAAGCTTTAACAATACTATGGATCAGAAATCCTCCATACTCTCTTCAAAGGCATTTTTCCAAGGTCCTCAGAAAGATAAGAATGGTCTCAGAAATTTAAAACATAGACATTTCAGCTCCAGACACTAGCTGTCATATAGACATTTCAGCTCCATGGCTCTTAAGCAAGTTCCACCAAACAATGTAGAAAACCATGTGTGGATATACCAACAAAATGGCCGCGGCGACACTTCTGGTCTGCGTACGTGCGTCTTGACGTCACTCCGCTAACGCGTTTCGTCACTTCCGGACTTTGTCTGAAGGGATGTGTTATGCTGACCTGGGAATCTAACAGCACTTGGTGTGAGTCTAGGGGCTTTCACCCTCTGGAGCTTCTCTTCAGACAGATCTTTGCTGCAGTAGGATGTGAACCAGCGTTGGACTCTCAGCACTATCAAAGGTCAAGCCTCTAATACCATTAGAGGCAATCTTGTCTGTATTCTCAACCACACGGTTGTTTTCTGTAGCTATGACCTTGGTGATGAGATTGTATAAATTGGCCTCATTTTGCAACAAAAATATTTTTGGTCTTGCATATGAACAAATTCGCGTTGAGGCCCAGGACGTCCTTCTAGCCTAAAGTAGCCTCTGCATTTCACCTCAAACCTAACCCCTCGGTTGGGCTGCTCTTGGACATGTCAAAGTGCATGTCCTTTGAAGGACACAGGTCCTAGCACTCTGTGTTTGATTATGCTGTCTGTATTGCTTTGCTGTAAAACATAGACATGCTGGTAGTAGGAGAGATTGACTTAGGCTAGCTTAATGTGGAACTACACTGTATCTGACAGCACAAACCAAAAGCACAATTTAATTCATGTTTAATATTTACAGGAAACTTGCCCATCCATTCATGTCTCCATGCTTTATTTTGCTGCGAAATCCCTTAGAAAAAGACTCCCTAGTATTTCTGGCAATGGCCATGTTGTGTTAGGGCAAATGATTCATGTAGCATTTAATTCCTGGAATCCATATGCTCTTAGCTTAGGCGTACAGGCAGGGTGTACTTGGCTAAGAAAACCCCTCCTCCCCTCCTGGAAACTTCTGAGATGTATGATATTGTTTACCTAGGCATGGAAACTAAGAAGTAACTAAAGAAATGTAAAACAATGTTTAAAACAAGAAATGCTTTCCTATATGTTTACTAATGCCAGCAGCATACAGATTTTAAAAAATAGTCAATGTTGATTGAGAGAGTGAAGCTCTACTTTAACTTTTTTTTTTTTTTGCCAATGTCTAATCCGTCTGATAGGTAGCAGTATCACCTGAAGGTAAGGCTTCCCATATCTCTAACTGGACTCCAAGCAAATGATTTTACAGTGACTACAAAAAAATTCTATTTTATATTATATTATATTATATATAGTTGTTTTTGAATATTTGATTGAATACATCATCATGAGTATTCTTAATGCTATAGGATGTTACCAGTTTGTTGCCTGAATGGGAGGATGGACATTTTTACCTTGCAAAGTACTATGACAAACTGATGCCCATGGTGACTGACAACAAAATGGAGAAGCAGGGTGATCTGATAAGATATATTGTTCATCATTTTGGAAGGTAAAACATCTTCTGTCATGTGTTGTGGTTCTTTTTTGTGTTATCAGGGGTTGTGACATGAAATTGGTATATGTGTGTACAGATTTGAATGATAGTCTGGTTTCAATCAGTAGTGTGTTCTCCAGAAAATCTGCTCTTGAGTTTAACACGAAAACCATTAAAACTAAGTTGCCTGTCAAGTTAGAGAACCCATCATCAAGGTCATCTTCAATCTATCAAACCGTGAATAGATAGGTGCTTGCTCATTACAATAAATATCATATACTTGCAAAGTGCTGGCTGCACAGACTGGTGCCGGGATTTGGACACCTGAATATGTGAGTGCATTATCTATTACTTGAACTATGGTTCTTAATAAATAGTACACTTAGACCAATTTTAATCTATTCGTTTCATTTGAGCTTTCTGGAGCACCATTCATATAAGGGGCACTTGGATATTTATCTTGTGAGAGCCCACAGTTGAGAATTCACACATTATTCAATTTCATAGTGTCATGTGACCACCCATACAGGGGTCAATACCATCTGTTTTTTTTGGAGAGCCAATAAAAAGGGAACCAGGAGGTTCATTGCATGAGAGCCTGCAGTTGGGAACCTATATATTACTTGACCACATAGCGTTATTTGACCACCGAAATGGGGGTGAACACTTTCAGGTGAATGAGAAATTCATCTGTTGCTCACACGTGGTGGAGAAGAATTTTTTTGAATTATGTGATACCCTCATATGGGACTTCCATTCATTTATAAAGAATTTTTTGGACTTCCGTATATCATGTACTAATTAACTATTCACATGATGTTGGGAGAGCACTTTGCAAGTATATGATAATTATTGTATTGAGCAAGCTCCTATTTATTCACAGTTTGTTATATTGAGTGTTTATCCACTTTGTAGGGGCAGCTGCTATTACTGCCTGAAAATGGCAGTATTCACTATTACTTGGTAAATCATATTACACATTTATATTTGTTTTTATAGGCGCCACGATATTGCTTTTTTCATTCATCTTCAATCTATGACAACCAAGACAATCCCTCTTCAGAAATGACTGGGCTGCTTTGTACATTTGCTGGCACTTTTACTGTTCTCTAGAGACACAAAATAACCTTTTTTCTTGGGAGTATTCCCTGCCTAAAGCAAGCTCTGGATACTAGAAAAACTTATTTTTTTGTGTGGGTCAGATTCTTAGCTTAGTTTTTGCTTTTTTCCCCTCTTTATGTTAATTATTCTTCATATTTCTTGAGAGCTCCACATCCATATCACTCTTGGCCTCTGCAGAACTTTTAACTCAGTTCAAAAAAGAATTCAGAAGAAAATCCGAGTATTGCAAAACCTCAAAGGCAAACCAGAGGGTCATGAGCTCTGTACCCGAAACCAGCAGATCAGCTTTAGCAGAGTTTGAGCAAGCAACTTTTTTTTCTTAGCACACGTTTGGAAAAGGAAATATGAAAACACACTTTCTAGGCACAGAGACTCGGTACTCGAAAAGATAAAATCAATGTTCCTTTATTAGACAACATATCATATCTAAAAAGTATCTGATAAGATATTATTTTACAATTCTCCCACAGTGAATATACCAAAACACACCAGTTATAATGATGGCAGTAAGTGGTTACATTATGGAAAATACCAACAGTGTAATCCTGCAGAGGGGTAAGGGACATTCAGATAGTGCAGGTAATGTCTGACATGTTTCGCGACCACCGTCGCTTCCTCAGGGGCTAGCAGTATTTCTAGAAAGAATGCATATGCTTAGACAATAAGGTACATGCCAAAGTTATAGCACAATATAATATTTTAAATTACATTTATAAAATAAACCAATGTGCACTGGGCAACGGCGGACTCCCCAGGACTTGGGGGGGGGGGGGGGGGGGGGGCCTCCTTTTGGTCAACGCAGGGAGAAGGACCTCCAGGGGTCAGGTATGGGGGTGCAAAAACTGAACACAGAGCAGGCAAGGGACCCGCAAGGATCCTCAAGGGCAATGAATTCCCACGTGTTAGGAGACAAAGCTAGAGGCTAGAAATATGGGACTAGGAAAGGCCTAAAAAGAGTCATATACCTAGACTGAGAAAACATCCTTCTAAACAATGGCACTTGCTGCATTGGAGCCTAGCTTCCTAAATAATATGTTAACCTTAAACCATATGTTCCTTCACCGGGAAATAGGAGATTAACACATCAAGTTGCAATCAAAAAACTTGTCCTCAATAAGAGACAACAAAAAGGGGGCCTATAGGCCTATGAAAAACAAACAGCAAGTGTCATCCACCAGCTTCGTGATGTCGTCATGGAGGAGTGGAAGAGGACTCCAGTGGCAAACTGTGAAGCTCTGGTGAACTCCATGCCGAAAGCGGGTTACGGCAGTGCTGGAAAATAATGGTGGCCACACAAAATATTGACACTTTGGGCCTAATTTGGACATTTTCATTTAGGGGTGTATTTACTTTTTTTGCCAGCGGTTTAGACATTAATGGCTGTGTTTGGAGTTATTTTGAGGGGGACGGCAAATTTACACTGTTATACAAGCTGTACACTCACTACTTTACATTGTAGAAAAGTGTCATTTCTTCAGTGTCGTCACATGAAAAGATATAATAAAATATTTACAAAAATGTCTGTGAGATACTGTACATACACTAAAGATTTTCACATGACAACAGACCAATAGTAATGAGGAGCACCTATTGTTATGTGTTTATATACATCATAGTGTCATTCCTCTTGTAGTCAGGATATTTAACCCATAATGCCATTCTTTTGTAACTAAAACATACAGTATAATCCATAGTGCTGGGTGCTCCAGGGAATTCGCAACATGAGTTTTTTATTTTGATAGATTTTGTATTACTTATTACAAATCTAAATTTAAAGTTCAACTTTTATTAGGTCTTTGCAGTATGGAAACCAATTCATCTACCAGTCAATGCCTCGAATGCTCTCTTTGTGGCTTGACTTTGGAGCTAAAGTCTATGAATGGGAAAAAGGTAAAATGTATTTATTTTATGAACTATTTTTAAATAATTGTTTATACATAATTAAAAAGAAAGACTGATGTGAATAAGGTTTAACATTTTCCAAATCCTGATGTTTTCTCTTCAGGAGCAATTAGAATAAAAGTGGCAGCTGTTGTCAGTTTTGCTATGCAGGCAAACTATGCTAGTGCTAGGAGCAGTAAAAGAACTGTTGCTGTAATTGTTTTGTTATTGTTTGCCCTGTCTAAGTTTTTTTTTTGCTGGTTTAGTAGTTTAGGGCTGGTTCACACCAGATGCAGTCCACTGCAATTTTTTTTTTCTACATCAAAAATGCATCCACAGCATTTTCAATGTATTCCAATGGCCTTAGTTCACACCAGTGCAGTTAGTTCCAGTGCAGAAAAATGTAGAACATGTTGCATTTTTCCTGCACAGAACTGTACTGGAGCACAGCAAAATGCATCAAAAATGCACCGGAATGGAGTGTGTTGTGAAATGTAAGCAAAAATGCATCTGGAGTGCGTTTTTGTGGTGGTGAACTGGCCCTTAAAGTAGTATTAAACCCAAAAGCAAAAATGTACTATTGTAGTTTATCAGTTCTTAAATGTGATGTCTACATTTGTTTTCTTTGTATGCCTTTTTCCCTTTATTTTTACCTCATCCAGTCATTAAGTCTGCTTTTTTCAGCTTACTTTTAAATTGATATTAAAGGCAATTAAAAAAAAGAAATAATAAATATGTCAGTGGTTTTGAACAGAGCAGCCCAATCCTCCTCTTCTCAGGTCCCCCAAAGGCGCTCCTGGCTCCTCCCTTCTGCCAAGTGCCAAGGTACTCGCGGGCTGTTGCTCTGTGTCCATTCACACACACTGAGATTCGGCACCAACCCCTGCTCTCTTCTCATCGGCTGTGATTGACAGTTGCGGGCGCCAATGGCTCCCACTGCTGTCTCAGCCAATGAGGAGGGCAAGACCTGGGAGAGCTGCTGCTTTCGAACACATCGCTGGATTGAGAGGGGGCTTAGGTAAGTATTAGGTGGGGCTGGGTGAGCTGCTGCACACAGAAGGTTTTTAACCTTCATGCAATACTGTATTAGCTTCATTTCTTTTTTCTCTCACTGTTTGTACGTGTCAAGATTTTGTTTGCTTTTGGAGCTGCCATTTGGCACTACTATGCTTATTGTTTTTGTAATGTATTTTTTTTTTTAATTGCTGTTTTATTGTGCAATTTTACTTTGTAATTTTCAGCTGGCCGTGCTGATCGTCTGCAAATGAAAAACGATTTGATCAAAATTAACAAGGTTATAACAGATCATAAAAATTACTTGGCTCCATACCAGTTCCTGACTGCCTTCTCTCAGCTAATCTCTAGAATCTGTCACTCTCATGATGAGGTGTTTGCAGTATTGATGGAAATAGTGGCAAAAGTGTTTGTGGCTTATCCTCAGCAGGCAATGTGGATGATGACTGCTGTGTCTAAGGTAATGTTGACTGGGAGGAAAGGTCCCTTGTATACATACACCATTAATACAGGCTTATTACATAGCTTTATAAGAGAAACACAAAGACTGCAGTGGTTGACTCTTTATTCTGTGAATACTAGTTTTCTGTAACTCATACCGACCCTCTGGCATCAGTACTGTAAATCACAGTCCTAGAATGAGGAACTCATAAGCATTTCCATCTTTCCTCTGACACTTTTGATTTAGGTGTTTAGTTTAAGTTAGGGGCTCAAAGCCACAGTCATCCAGATAAGTAGTATTTATTTCTAGTCCATTGAGGGAAACGGGAATTCATATGTTTTCAGGCTATCCTGGCCCTTACAGGAGGATTGGACACTAACAAAATTTTAGGACAGACCAGGATAACCCCTCATATTTCCAGCATGTCTCAGTTTTTTGCTAGT